GCCCCTAATTTGCCTTTGCCCCCACAGCCAGCAGCGCTGCCCTACGCGCTCTGTGGGTTGACTGCTGCTGCAGCAGGCAGCCAGGGACACCACGCACAACGCTCGCTGGCAGCCCGGCTCTCCCGTCCACCACTTCTTCAGCAGGACACCAAAGTAGGATAAAAAAGCTCAAATAATTTGCTGTAGAAGGGGGGAGTTTGCTGTCCCACAAGATGTTCTTACTGGTGGCAATGTGGAAAAAACCCCCAGGTTTGTCAAAGCTATTCAGAAGTTTGACTAGAGCGAACCCACAGACTTTTCAGAGCGTAAAAGCTTCCTGAAGCTGCCAAACTGTCACGGCTGTGAACTGCAGCAGCCCCAAAAAGCTGCAGGCCTGGTCTGAGTGAAGAAGGCAACTGTGTTACACGACCCTTTCAGTTCCTTTTCTGGGGGCACTTCCACTTCAGTGTCTTCTCACAGGCTGTTCCAAGAAGCTCACTAGCTTCCAGTAAGTAAAAACCTTCAGGTCAAATCCCAGTTATCCCAAAAAGTGCACCCAACACCATACTGAGTCGTCCCCTGTAATTCTTTATTAGAATCATGGATGAATATATTTTAAATCAATCTAAAAAAAATAATGAATCAAGGTACAGTACATGCATAAAATACAAAGTAATTTACAAACAGATCAAAATAGCATCTTCAGAACTAATATTAGGAGGAGAAATGGACTAAAAAAAACCAAGCGACCGACTACAGCAATGCCTTCCGTGTGCCTTACACATCATGAGCACCGCAAGACAGAAAGGTTGGGTACGAAACGCAGCTGGTAGTGCCTCCCCAGATTTGGATGTTCCAAACAGGTCATATCAGAGTTTGAGAAACGTCCCCTACAATCAATTACTTCCCTGCAATTGTATAAATAACTGCAGGCATTTATACAACAAACAGTTCTTTCAAATACCGTAGAAATTCAGTGCCTATAGCCCCCAAATCTCAGTATTAATGACGTGTTTGGGAATAGCACGAGTGACATGCCGTGGTTTCAGCGTGCAGTGACAGAAGGCACAGTTCACGTATCCCTGAACAAGCGAATCGAACAGATGATTTGTACCGAGCGACAGACCACAGAAGGAAGGCACCCAGTAAGAAAACTACTCCAGATGCTTTTGTTAGAGAACATATACCAAACTATAGGAATAATTTAAAAACACCAGATGAAACAGAACTGAAAACTAAGACCAGGTTGTGGAAGTCATTGATTCATCAACTCAAGCATTTGAATATATTGATATACGTGGCACATATGTGTAAATGTGATATGTAATACGTGACAACACCCTTCAAGTCGGTGTGCCATGAAAGAAAAAAAGGCATCCTCAAATCCTGATACCACCAGCCCTGTGGAGGCCAAGCCTCGGGCAGCACAAAAACATGCTGCAAGTTCCAGCGTCAGAGCGACCCTTCATCAGCTACGCAGCCGTGCTTTTGCTTTCTTCACAAGAGGCACCTCAAAGGGAGTCCCACCAGCGTCTCCCCGGCCAGCCTCCCAGCAGCTCTGCCTCACATCACAACCTCCTCTGGAGCAGGTGCCAAACCACAAAAGCTCATTCACAGGTAGCAAGAACCCTGCTGCTTGTTTGCAAGAAATTCTCCTTTCTCCCCCATAATATTCTATTAAAAAAAAACCCTCAACGTGACAATCTGAAGATGTGGCCAGAAACATTAACTTATACTAAAATTGCACTTCAGAGCAATGGGCATTTCATCAAGCTTTAGATGCAGTATAGAACACCTTAAGACAAGGAAAGATTACCCTGCCCAGAGATATTTTCCCAGTTAACCTGACAGTAATTGTTTTGCGAGGAGCAGAATAACGTCTTCAAGTGCTCACTAAAGGTGTCTGTGCTCTGACTAGCGGGCATCATGTTGGGAAGAGATCAGATCAGTTCCAAACAATTTACTGAACCAAAACGGACAAGTCGGTGTTGGGAAAATACTGCAGCCACACAGAAGCAATAGATTTATAAACACTGAAATCAAAGTGTTTAAGACATGGAGAAATTCAGAAGGAATAAGCGGTAACTAAACACAAGAAAGTAACCACGAGAATTACAAATATATTTAAATCTTGGACCTGGGGAATATACACAGCCTTTTAGGAAAGAATGAACAATTCTATATATTCTGACAGCACTGCATCTTTGGTTTGTTTTCAGTGGTTGGAGGGACGTGAATGGGAACCACGTTGTTGCTTGGAGACATATCGTTTTCACGTCTGTCGGACATTTGCTTCTGGGAAACAATACGATAGATCTCTGGAAGATGAGAAAGAGCTAGTTATTATGCGTACACCAGCAATACACCAGCAGAAAGTTAAATCTGGGGGAAACCAGGCATAAGATATACAAAGATTTCCCATAGTTTTGGAAATATATAGGTAATGCACAGAAGTGTTCACATGAAGTTCAATTGTGATGCTTTCTATATTCAGAAAATAAGATATTTATATTTTTGCAAAAGAAATTTATCTTTTAAAAACTGTTCTGCTCCCCTTGAGGTAAGAGTTAGTAAATGGACAGAATTCACCTTTTTTTTTTTTGCTAGGAATCAGAAACCGTGTACCCCATCATTCCTTCTGACGGTTCCTAAGGCTCCAGGGACAGTGGCTGCATGTTTGCTGACGTATCCGCAGACAACAGCAGGATTGAAAAGAACCACTCAAAATGTCTACCTCTGATAGGACTGCAAGGGCGTTTCTTCTCTCTCAGCATGCCCATCGCATACAATAGCCTGTCTATCATCCAAGCGGTTTTAAGTCTTCAGAAAAGGTTGTTTGGGGCCCAAAAGAGGAGACCTGGCCCCTTACGCAGAACACGAGCCCTTTACAAAAGTCACTGTGTTAGCGCAGGTAAACTTCAAAACTACAGAGGAATATGGACCCCAGACAAAGAAATTCCAGCATAAACTGGAGAGCACGGCTTAAAAACTCCTGTGCCTTTCCCAGCACGCTGCCAAGTGGGGAACGCCGCACACCTGCCCCGAAAGCTTTGCCCAGTTTTCCTGGGATTTGTTAGTGGCCGATGGCACGTGCTGTACATAAACTCAGAGTAGCTACAAAAGCACTTATTTCAGCTACGCAGAAGAAAGTATGGCATGTGTAGCACTTCACCCCCAAAAAGGAAATAAAGGATACCAAAAATAGCACATGGGGAACTCACTTGCAAATTCAAGTTTTAAACCATTAAAAAAAAAAAAAGGCTTGCTAAATATCAGTTTAACAAAAAGTTTGAAAGTGTTTCGGAATCAGCAAAAAGCTGACCCTAAAATGACAAGATCACATCTTCTACCTTGCACAACAGAAAAGCGTGCTGGCAAAAAATACACCGGCACCGCCAAGCAGCAGAGCCCCTGAGAGCAGGGAGTTGATGCCCACACCCAATCTGCATGCTCCAGCTCACTGCCCCACCGTAAGGTTTCGGATAAGGCCAGGCTGCAGAAGACGGGGGTGTCAGCACTTCACTCCTCCAGCAGAGCAAAGCAGGGAAGAGCACAGCTCGCAAACAACTCCGGCGAACCAAAGCAAAGGTCCAAATTCTTTCGGAGTTCTGAAGTCTCCTATCAGCTGGATAATGACTGTCCAAACACACACCTCGCCTGACCCCAAAGCAAGACACGTCTTTTCCACCAGAAATTTGTCATTAGCGAGTAGCCTTTGTTCAGAATTTTAATGAGCTGCTGCTTAGTGCTCATCCTGACATCATTTCAGTACTGGAAATCGAGCAACCTTGTGCAGAGGTCCCCTTTGCTGCCAAGGGCTGATCACACAGCTAAGCGCCTGCTTTTACAATGAGAAGAGATGGCACTGAGGAGCTAAAAAGCGTCCCTGACAAACAAGGCTTGAAAACCTTGCCCCCGATGCAACAAGCCTGCACTGATTTAAGCTGCCAACACAAACAGAGGCCAAGTGCTCCCCAGGAAGAGTAAGAGCAGGGCTGCACGCATCCACGGGACTGCTGGCAAAACAAAAATCTCTCACGTAGATACTGTGCTGTATCTACAGACTGTACAAGTAACATCAACCCTTGCAAGTGGCACTTTGAAAGAATCTGCCTGTTGGGCCTCCAAACTGACAGCTCAGACTCAGATAGGGATAAAGCGTTCAGAAAAATGGATTTTACATACGCGTTCAGTTACAGATCGAGTCACTGAGGCAACCAAACAAGAGCTGCACACGTAGGATTTTCTGATTTCCCCCTTTCTCAAGTTCAGCCTTCTTTCCAACAGTCTTACACATAAACAACTTCAGAAGTTAAGCGAGTCCCATGAAATCAGATCTGTAAAGCCACCTGCAACCCCACGTGGGAATTTGCAGACAAAGATCAGCTTCGCCCTGTGGCAGGCCACTCCATGTTGAGCAGAGTGCCTGTGTGCAGAAGAGATCTGCTCTACATTCTTCAGGACGAGCTTTCTGCTCCACTACCCTGCCCCAGCTCAGGGTAGACGGCCAGTTTACCTCCAAGTGCAGAACACTGTCCGTTCCTATTCAACAGGAGAAGGCTCTTGCCACCTTCCTTACTGGAAACTCTCTAGTAGCACCTTCGGCAGCAGCAATTCTCAGTCTTCCAAAGAACTGCCTGAACAAGTTCATCCTAGTCCCTTACACGAGCTGTCACACACTTCCTTCACCAAGCAAGGACTGGCAACCAGGGTGCCCTCTGTGTAACACCCTCTTCTTACAGCAAAGATCTTCAGTAAACAGCCCTGAAGCCTTAAAACAATCTTAACAGCATTGATTTCTCTGCTGATAAAGGGTCTAGCCCTTCTGTCTCTGGGAACATTACTTCCATGATCCCCACTTCCACAGCCTCCCCATCAGTCCTGCAAGGACATTTAGCAGCTTGTGCTGCTTGAATCAACTTGCAGCAGTGCCAAGTTTGGTGCTCACTGCCGCTTCTCCCTCCTCTGCAGTGCAAACCTTTGTGCAGCCGCAGCTTACTGCGCTAGATGAAAGCCTAAATGTCTAAAACCTGCT